AGAGAGAGAGAGAGAGAGAGAGAGAGAGAGAGAGAGAGAGAGAGAGAGAGAGAAAGAGAAAGAGAGAGGTGTGCGTGTTTGTGTTGTGTATTTGACGAAGAGAGAGAGAATTTGAAATAGAGTATGAATTTCGTATTCACACTAAACATAATATACTAAAGCTATCACGCACACAGATGAACGACAACACGTGTATGTCGATGTACATATAGTGAATTTATTCTTTCCCGTAATCGTTATCGAAATATTAAGCTAAATACACTTTGTGACGCCGCCTATAGCGCTATGAGGCTCAGTTTTTGAGCCTCGCGTATGACCGGCGGTCGATAAACACGCTTCGTATTCATACTAAACATAATATACTAAAGGTATCACGCACACAGATGAACGACATCACGTGTGGGTAGATGTACATATAGTGAATTTATTCTTCCGCGTAATCGTTATCGAAATATTAAGCCGAATGCACTTTGCGACCCACCATATAGGGATATGACCATATAGCATCGCGTATGACCGGCGGTCGATAAACACGCCTCGTTTACATACTAAATATAATTTACTAAAGGTATCAAGCTCACAGATAAACGACAACAGGTGTGCATATATGTACATATAGTTAATTTATTCTTCCCCGTAATCGTTATCGAAATATTATGCCAAATACACTCTGTGACGCCCCCATATAGCGCTATTCGCGAGGCTCATTTCATGAGCCCCGCGTATGACCGGCGGGCGCTGTATATACTGGCGTAGATAATAGATAAATTGGCTTAGTCGTCAATACGGTACGCTCCGATACATTTCCATAGTTTCTTAGATCGGGCGCTAGATGGCGGTAGTGTAAAACAGCGCCACCACACTGTACGTCATAAACTTTATTTGCGATCTTTGATTTGCTTTGATTTCCACCCTCGTATCTGGTTCAAAGATGGATCAGGAACTCCTGGCTTTGCGAAAAGAAAAAAACAGAATGAAGAAGAAAGGAAACGATAAAGAAGTAACTATTCGTATTAGTACTAATAGTAGGCCTATTTATTGTTGTTGTTGTTGTTTAAATTAAGTTGCATAGAATACGTTTGGTGTTATCCCTTAGCCTAGCCGTATGCGGGACACTTTTTGGTTCATGGATAGAGAACATGGGTCCCAATAAAACCAATGGCAATGTCATTTACATCAATATAAATATAATATTATATCAATATAATAGGTTATGGTTAGGGTTAGGGTTAGAATTAGGGTTAGGGTTAGGCACATTGGTTTTATTGGGACCCATGTTCTCTATCCTTGGGCCGTTAGGGTTAGGGTTAGAATTAGGGTTAGGGTTAGGCACATTGGTTTTATTGGGACCCATGTTCTCTATCCTTGGGCCCAATTTTTCTCTGATAACTTATAATATTAATAATTAATATTATTATTAATAATAATATGTCCAGATAGAGTATTGACTATTGGTAGATACCAACACGCACAACACAAGAAAAGATAGGTGTGACTCCTAGTCCGACCAGGCCCTAGCCCCTAGCCTAGGCGCTACCGGCACTAGTTAACCCGACCAGGCTGTGTGACTAGTCTAACGTCAATATACATTACAGTTATGCACAGCCTGACATCCATCCATTGGATAATCTTGTACCTCTACAAAAACTGCCGCACAATTACGTATATCTCAAATAAAATAATTATCTAAGGCTAAGCATTTCTGCCTTGTTTTGTATCAAGTATAACCTTCACCTTATAGACTATAGTATTCCAGCGTTGTTATTAAAACTATGCAGTGGCTACGCGTCCGGAACCGGTCGCCTAGCCTCCAGGCTACGCATCCGGACATCCACTCACACAAT